CAAAGTAACACATACATCTGACTTATTTTTCAACAGAAACAACCAAGTCATTCTTGAGTAATCATCAATCACTGTAAGAAAGAATCTATTACCATCAAAAGTAGATTGTTTGTATGGACCCCATACGTCCAAATGAATCAAGTCAAAACAGTCAGTACTCTTAATACTACTACTTGGAAATACAGCTCTTGTTTGTTTTGCACAAAGACACACATTACATTTATTCAAAACTTTGTTCACAACCTCTGGACTAACAGAAAATAACCTGCTCAATGCATGAGATGACATGTGTCCTAATCTTTTGTTCCATACATTCACTTCTTCTTCTGATAACTGCTTTGCTTCTTTTCCTTTTCCTTCTGCCAAACAGGACTGAAATTGTTTGCTTCTTTTCTTTTTCCTTCTGCCAAACAGGACTGAAATTGCACCTGACCCTGTGTAAGATTCTTCAACAGCAAATACAACCCAACCTCTTCCTTACCAATCTCCCTCACCTTGCCAGTGTAGAGTTCCTAAAACACACAGAAATGTGGAAAGAAAGTGACTGAGCATCCCAACTCCTTTGTCATCTGACTAACTGACAACAAATTGTATTTGAACTCTGGAACGTGAAATACATTTGTGATTACACTTCTTGGGGAAATTGAGCAGGATCCAGTGTGAGTTACATATACTACTTTACCATTAGGCAAACTTACAGGTTTTGGATCCTTGACATTCACTATAGACTCCTTAGTTAACATACCAACATTAGAGCTCATATGGTTGGTGGCACCTGTGTCTATAATCCATATCTCACTATGTTCAGAAACTAATAGAGCTTTACCTGCTGAATTAGCCTGAACTCCATGAGCTGCACTCCCTGATATGTTTCCACAATCTTGATTCTGGTTAAGCATCTTCAAAATTTGACTGTATTGGTCTTTGGTGAAAGTACAGCCTTGCAGATGATTCTCACTTTCACCCACTGCACTAGTGTTAGCTTGTGATCTTTGACCCTTATCATGAGTAGCATTCCCATAGTTGAATAAAGGATCATTTGACATCCCATCATATGCATCTTTTCTTGTAGTATTAAATTCACTTCCAGTCATGTAGGCATTATGACCTGCTCCATTATTCACTTTTCTCTTCGACTTAAAATCAGGAGGGTATCCTATCAACTTGTAGCATTGTTCTTTAGAATGCCCTTTGCATCTGTAGAATTCACATATCAACCCCAAGTTCTTCTTGAACTTGTTATATCCTTGGCTATTAGACTGACCTCCAGTTCTTGAATACATTGCTAAGGGATCAACCCCAGTAGAACAGATGGAGTTCAGTCCTATATTCACCACTGGAAGTCAATTTCTGACACTCATCATTCACCACCATAGCATAGGCCTGATTAACTCCAGGAACTGGATTCATCAACAAAATTTGACTTCTTGCCTGTCCAAATAACTCATTCAATCCCATCAGGAATTGATAGAGCTTTTGTCTATTTAGATGTTCAATAAAACCTCTCGACCTCTCACAGTCACATCTAGGAGATGGCATCAAAGTTTCATATTCATCCCACAATTCTTTAAGCTTTGTAAAATAGACAAACACAGAATCTGTACCTTGTTGAAGTGTAGCAATTTCTTTATGCAAGCTGAAATTTCTTGACCCATCCAGCCGATCGAATCTTTCTTTCAAGTCACTTCAAACTCCTTTGGCAGATATTGCAAATGCCACTCCTGCTAACAAACTTTTGGACACAGAATTTAGAAGCTAAGAGAGAACTATCGCATTTACTTTTTCCCACTGACCTCCTAACTCTGCACTCACATCATTCTTCCTACAGGTTCCATCCACCAGTCCAATTTTGTTTCTTCCAAGCAACGCCAAACGAATGGATCGACTCCACACAACATAGTTTTTTATCCCAAGGAGTTGAAAGGAGATAAGGTTAACCCCACTAACATCAGCAGGACTTAAGTACAGAGGATGATTATAATCCACTACTTGATTTGCAGGAATCATTGGTGTGGTATTTCCATGACCAGGAACTCCACCATTACCGATCTCAGTATCTTGGCCACTATTGTTTGCCATTGATCTTGCTATTTTTCTTGATTTGTATCGCGGAAGCTTGATGATTCTTCCAGACTCTGATCTTATGCACCTGATCTACTCAGACTTTGATCAAGGCTCTGATACCATGAAGGTTTACAGAGTTGTTTGTAGAAAAACAGAAGATTAATCTTTCATAGATTTGAGAAGAAAAAGTTGCACAATAAAGCTGTATCACAACTATTTATACATGTACTTCTCATTCTATTCTTAGATCTAGAATGTAACTAACTAACAACTTTATAACAAATTAACTAACTCCTAATTGTAAACTTGAATAGTAGTTACAGACTCTTATTTCTGTCAACAAAAGGCACTAATTTGAAATCTGACAGAGGGGAATATTTCTATTATGCAGCAAAAAAACAAGCTTCAGCAAGAACTGAAGCTCTTTAGACGGGAACATAACACATGTCGTGGTGGTATCCTATCTATATATGTTCTCATTATTGCATTGTTAGATATCCTTCTGGGCTATCTTCTCAAAGAGACATAATTCTTACACATTATTGCTATATTTTCAATGCTCTAGTTGTTTGAAAAATTTCAGAACCTTAAGTCAATTAGTTGTCTGGTTGACTTAAATGTGTACAAGTTAATTTCATTACTTTTGTTGTAATGGCCTTGTGCTTCAAGCAATCATCATATGACCAACTAGTTTGACATCCTACTTTTGGCAACTCGATAAGACAACATTAGTATACCGATCAAGTGTATTTCCTAAGTTATGAATACTATTGATAATTCATTGTAGTAGATTTGTTTTATTAACATGACGAATTACTTGGATTCGAAAAAAGACAAGAATTTTAAAAAATAGAAACACACTAGTAGCACTCACTTGTCCCTTGGCAGTGCCTTCTTAACGAAATTGTCAAATCAAATATAAGATAAAAAATTCAAAAGCATCGTAGAGATCTTAAATTACATCTCTTTCATATTCGCGCATATATAGTTGTTCAGGAGCAGCCAACTAAATTCTCAATTAAAGTCTCCAATTGCTAAAGTGGTGCAGAGAACTAGTAAGCTTTGTCCCTGTGATTTTTTTTTTTATACATGACAAGATTATCATGCCACTCTATAAATGGACGCGAGGTAAGTATTCACTTTAACAAATTAAAACCAAAGAAATGAAGTAGACCAAAGCTCACAAGACTACCAAAAAACCAAAAAATTGTTTCTTCTTATAGGTAATTTTATTTGGTTAACATTTATAAAATAAGATGTGATCTCTACTCTAAAATTATTTTTGCAAATATAAACTAGTAACTTTTAGATTTCAATTATTTATGCATAAACAATCAATGAACCAACTATGAAACTTGTTATTTTTCCCTACAAATGTATATATTTTTAACCTGGAAGGAACATGTAATTTCAAACTCTTTGATAGCACACATGAACTTCTTTTAATCAATATAACGAAAACAAAAGAACATAATTATATTGGAACGGAAGAACCATGAGATTCTTCAACAAGGAACCTTAATTATCACCATACATAATAATGGAAGACAATTTGACAAAGTTACTGCTATAATGCAAGTGTTCATAAGCTTTTAAGCAATAAAGAGACACACTATCACAAGAAAAAGTAAATAGCAATAAGAAAGGCTAGAAAAAAAGAGTGCACTACTATAGTTAAAACACTAGGTTATAACCCTTAAATTTCTAAATAATTCTTTGACCTCATATTATGTATTTCGAATCTTTTAGCATAGATAATCTCGTATATATCTTTGCTTTAACTTCTAGTGATTAAATGTCTGTTTGTGGACTAATTTTATTTCTTAAATAATGTCCTGTTGTAGTTAAAACACAATCTGAATTCAATAAACAATCTTGATTACCTCTTTTAATTTTTGTTGTTTATCCCATTCAACAATTATTTTTTTTGGAAAACTGCAACTTTTTTTGTGCAAGCTCCCACTATATCCTTGATAATGTTAAACTCTACCTTACAAAATTCTTAGAGCTCAAATAAATATACACTTATCAATTTTTATAAATAGCAATGACTATAAGGTAAACAAAAACCAAAAAAAAAAAAACTAACCACCATAAAATGCTTTTTCTTTATCAATTTTTCAATTATTCTTGGATGACCACTAATTTTTTTGAAAGTCTACGCTACATTAATAAGTTTCTTAGCATGCTCTCCACCATTAATTGCACTATCCAAATTATTGTAATTAAATATATTTCAGGACATATTGACCTATAACATTATTTATTATTTCAAGTGATTTGATAGATCATGAAGAGAGGTGTTGAAATAAAAAAAGATTTAAATTAATTGGATAACTCGTTTATATAAAATTTAATTATCCAATGCAAAACATGTTTAGTATCAAAATAATTAAATTAAACTTAGAGGTGGAGAAGTAGTTGAAACGCACTAACAAATTTCACAAGTCAAAAAGAGAGACCTGCCTATATTTGCCCTCTATCTTAATTCCAAAAAAATGATTTGTGAAACTTCTCAAAAAAATATTTATAATATTTAATAATTATATGCACTAACTACGTATATATATAGTGTATATTAATCGGTTTTACCTAGTTACCCGCATTATTTTTCAGATTAAAAAAAATGTTACTCCTAATTTACTTAATATAGGCAATTCAACTCTAGTTATAGTCTTTAAAGTAAGCAATTCATATTTTTCGTGTCATCACTTGCAAAATTAAATCTGCCGTGAAGACATGATTTGAATGCTATAATTGAACTGATAAAAAATGTTCTCCTTCCCTTTTTTCAGAAGAAAGGTGGGATCCGGACAAAATCGATGAAACGAAATGGGGGAGAAATAAAAAAAAAAGGTCTTTATTGAAGAGGCTTTGCTTCGTTTTTACAAAAACTTTACAAAAAAAAAATAGGAGTAAGCTTGTGACACGTTCACTAAAAAAAAATCCCTTTGTAGCCAATCATTTATTAAAAAAAATTGGGGGATTTATTTTCATCTGCCTAGCTAAACTTTAGTGGACAATAATTGAAATCCATACAAGCTAGTATGACACTATTATTATTATTATTACAAAAAAAAAAGACATCAATTACATTTTGTCATGTTGGGGATTTAATTTATTTGATTCCCCTAACTGTGATTTTCCCTGAGGCCCTTTAGTCCTTATGTAGAGTCTATAGTGATCAAAAGTCCTTGGTGGATACAATGGAGAAACATTGTGTGTGGTGAGCAGCTCCTTTACTGGTTCTATCATCAAATCACTTTTTGGATTGTAGAAAAACGCTAGGGAGATGCGTTCTTCTGCGGAATTTACCATCACTCGATGCTCAACGCTCTTGTATATCGCATTACTTAATATCTACATATTTAAGTACACCAACACATAAATTATGTTGACCAAGCAGGGAACATCTCAATCATATGAAATATTCAATAGCTGAGATATCTACTCTACAATCAGAAAAAGAAAAAAAAATGAAAATCAAGAAGAATATTCATGTACAGTTTTTCTAGTGGTCCAACATTTCATATATGTTGTAATTTATCTTCAGATGTGAGGTCCATATATTCAATAGGATAAGGTTGTATGACTGTGTGCCAAATATTGGCTTTTACGAAATAAATTGCCATTATTTTATTATTAAGGGACAAGTAATGTTTACCTCTCTTTAATCTTTCTTCAATAAAATAAAAGATTAACTATCTAAGCAAACACAATATTAGAAAAAATATATATATAAATATAAATATTTTATGCTAATTAGTCAATGTTTACTACTTCAAAAAATAATTACAAATTTGGAAGAATATAACAAGTCAACGTTAATTGTTTTCAGAAATATTCTCGAAAAAATGAGTGAATCAAGAATCTTTAAAAGTGTAAAATTTACGTATTAAAGTTGCAATATTTCTCCCAAAAAAAAAAAGTTACTTAAAATTACAATGAAGTCATTATAAAGGAATGTTTATAGAATTCACGTCAATTTGGTCTCCTGTAGGGTAGCATGTGCTAAAGCCCTTTACTTCGGAAGATGGATGGTTACTTGCTAATTCTCTTTTAATCAAGCAATCAAATTAATGTGACAGTTTATTTTTTGGTTGGTCTAAAAAAAGTATTACTCCATTTTAATTTTAATTTTTTTTGTATATTTAGTAATAATTTGGCTTTAATTTTTTATTTTACCCACAATAAAATGATTTATCGTCACACAAATTAATAACTTATTTTTAAGCTAGAAGTTTCAAAAAAGTTCTTTTCATTCTTAAATTTGGTCAAACATTTTTGTATAAATTGAGACCGAGAGTTTTTTTTTTATAGTTCTTATATATAAGGGAAGTTATAATTATTCAACACAATTCGATATGCAGGATTCAGGAAATATGCATGTACGGAAAGCAATTTGATAGTCGATATAATGACCAAATTAAATGAACCTGGTTAGATGTCATATATCAAAATAAAAAAGATGTGACATGATGTTTTTTTAATTTTATCCTTGCGTGGTCTTTGAAAAAAAAAATGTGAGAAACAATATAGAATTATTAAGACTTATCCGTAGCAAACAACTTGTCCATGACGTATAGTATTTTTCTAAAATTTGGCTTCTTAAATTTTCGTTATGTTTAAGACAAAGCAAGAGGACGTGGGGGTGGGGAGGCTGTTTTCATTCGTTCCCATATGATTATTTTTGGTCAATTTCTTCTCTTTAAAGATAATGTAATTGCAATAAATAGAAACTAAAAATAAACATCAAGTTGTGTTTTGTATTACAAAGTCAATTTTCAGAAAAAATGTTTTTATTTTTTGATGTTTTCCATTAAAAGGGGAAAAGTGACCATCGATATACATGCATTATTATATTTATCTTTAGTACTGTATTAAGAAAATTAATTTCGTCAAAATATATGTTGTGGTACTAAAAATAAGATGTATTAACCTGAATTTGATCGCCTATATTGACGATGAAAGCATGAGAAGCTGGTTTTACAGTGATCCAATGAGCGTTGTTGCGTCGGACCTGAAGGCCAGCGACATGGTGGTCCGGGAGGAGAATGGTCATGCCACCAGGATCCGAATGTGGAGAAAGGCCTAAGGTCAAGTCTGGTTGTGGACATTTTGGATAAAAGTTTACCCTTAGACATGCTCCTATATCTTCACCACCAAATGCATTTTGTAAAACATCTTCTTTTAATCCAAGATTTTTTGAGAATATCTTCATTAAACGTCCACCAAAATTCACCACTTGTTTTGAATATTCTTCCATCACTTTCCTGCATGCATACAACTTAAATTTTTAGATGAGATATATATATAGTATCAAAGTATGAAAAAAGAAAAGTAACATACCTTAGGGAAAGAGGGAGGGCAGGCCATTTGTTATGGTCCTTCAAATATCCAGGAAGATAGTGAAGAAAATAATAATCACTCCAATCAAGAATAGCACCTTTCTCAACTCCAAGTCGACTTCCATATCCCTCATAAGTCTTAGGCGTATTTCCATAACTTTGCTTAACATCCATCGGCTGATGAAAAAACTCTCTCCAAACTTGTCGCGCTTCATCCATGAGCTCTCGCGGAACGCCATGATTAACAACCTGAAAAAATCCCCAATCTCGACACGCTTCTGAAATTTCTTCACAATTACTGCTTCCCTCAAGATCAATCGTTGGAATATTAACATCACTAAACTTACTTAATGATGGCCTCTCATTTAGTGGCTTCACATATTTTGTTGGAATTGTTGAAATCCCACTATCAGATAAAGATTGGACACGAACTATTGGTTCTGGCCAATTATCTCGTGGGGATTTCATTATTTGCTAACTTAATTTACTCTTTATTTCAACAATAACAAAAAATATCATTTACCTTATAATATGCAAAACATTCCTTCTCTACCCCACAACATCTAAACAAATCTCTCTGTATTCACAGAAATTTACAGAGGATACGACGAGAATACGAAGGGGCAACTTGCCGCTGGATTTTCTACAAAAATAAATATATATACAACAACTCGAGAAAATAGTAATGGCCCAACAATTATATATATAGTGGCCAAGAAGAGGCCTCCTACCACTTTTCAGAAAAATAGAATTATTATACTCCCCTTAGAGATGATTTTTCATATGGTCACTCGATTAATAATTATTATTTGATTTTTGATTGGAGCAAAAATTGAAATCAAGAAGCACTCAAGAGTGTGATATAGTGGTCAATAAAATGGTTGAGAACCGTGAGGTCTCAGGTTCAAAACTCGATGGAGACAAGAAACACTAGATAAACTAGATGATTCTTCCTATCTGTCCTAGCCTTGTTTAGTGGTGGCTCTACAGCTTTCATAAAAAAACAATTGCTTTAGGCCCCAAAATTTGGGGGGCCTCATTCTTTTTTTTAAAAAAAAACTGATTTAGATTACAGATTTTAAGAATTTATATTTTTCTTTAAAATTTCGTGCTCAATCAAATACCTTAATCACAAGATGGGAGGATTAATGGTAGAGCCGCGTATAGTTGAGGGGTGTCAATCAACATTCCTTCATCAGAAAATACACTATATAACTAGATAAAGATATTTTCTTCACGATCTTACATCTTTATATATTGATATTCCTTACTCAAAATTCTGACAAAAGTGGACGGTTGGGTTTTGTGTTGTGTAGTGAAATGGGGAAATTTTTTATTCTGGGCGAGGCACACATACTGTCAGTTGTGTGAGGCCTCTTTTGGCTGCCACATGTATAATGTGGGACCCATGATGTACTTGTTTCCTTACGTTTTCTTTTCCAATCTTAATCTTTTCTTTTACTTTTTCTTTCTTGCCTGCATTTTCTTTTTTTGCTTGTTAATTGTTAGTGTAAATTTTATTTTTTATTTTTTGTTTTAATAAAGAAACTTTGAAACTCAC